CCGAAACGGCTTGACCGATTCTCACGAAATTTTGTGAGCGTATTGAGTAGGTCTGAGAATCGGCCAACATCTTCATTTTTCATCCCCCTAAATGTTAGGGGTAGTCCACCCCTAATTTTTTTTTTATTTTAAGGCAAAACAACGTTTGCCGTGACAGCTAGTATGTTATATATGTAATATATAAAATTCTCGTGTTACAGGTTTCGTGTTTATACTCCACCGAAACGGCTTGACCGATTTTGATGAAATTTTATATGTAGGTATATTCAGTAGTCTGTAAATAGGTTTATAACTAATTTTTAAACCCTTAAGTGTTGAGGGTAGCTAAATCAAATTTTCTTTTCATTTTTTCGACAAAATTTTTATTTTTATTTGTTTATTATGTGTTATTGAAAAAAACATATAACCCTAAATATCACCCTTCTATTACCAACCCCTATTTGTCAATAGCAATTTTAATTTATATGGTAAAACAACGTTTACCAGGACAGCTAGTAATATACATAAAACTGGGTATGAACGCCATAGATCTTTGAAACCAGTATAATACACATATATAATCATACATTTGGAGGAAATCCTATGGAATAACGCCTACAAAGTCATCCTACACTTCATTAGAGCGAATCAATATGAAACTGTCTATGTGACGGAAACCCGATATTCCGATCGAGTTCTTGAGGTCACTGATTCACGGAAATACAATTAAATTCACAGTTCAACCTTGTTAGAAATTGACTTTGCACGAACCAGGTGTTATGGAATAGTTATATCAAATCAAAATATAGGTATTTTGATTTGATATAACTATTATGGTAGTACTTAGGTACTTTGAAACTACGCGACGCCGGCGATCTAGCGGTTTTGAACACCGCCTTACTTACAATAGGCGTGAAGTCGATTCCTCGCACGATGTATGTATATTGTATGATGATTTGTATTCATAAGTACGATTGTTTGTATGGGTGTGGTTGATGTATTTACAAAAAAAATGTATTTAAGTATTTCTGTCAGCTGTTTAGTATCCATAACACATTCTCTGCTGACCTTTGGACTAGATGACGCTGTGCGAATTGTGTTGGGTTATTATTATAAATAATAATAATGATATCTGTACATCTATACATATAAATAAAATTAGAGTGTCTGTTTGTAATATTGAAATAACCATTTTTTACTACATGCATATGAATATAAATACGGTACATACACCAAAATAACATTTTTTACAATTTTGGCTGTCTGTCTGTCTGTTTGTTCCGGCTAATCTCTGAAATGGCTGGACTGATTTTGACGGGACCTTTATTGGCAGGTAGCTGATGTAATAAGAAGTAACTTAGGCTACTTTTATTTTAGAAAAATAAAGTAAATTCCACGCGGACGAAGTCACGTGTACAGCTAGTAAATAATAAAACCGAAACCCCAAACATATTGAGACTGAGGAAGTATATATTTTATAACTTTTTCTTTACTTCATTCTTTACTTTATCTTTTTCTTATCTTGATATAGCACTGTAATAATATAGTAGTCAATTTTACATGGTAGGTTTGGGTTCCGGCCACTGATTAGACTATTTTCTTTTGACAAAAGTGCAATAGCATATGCTGATGATCACTCTATTCCCCCTAATTTGAATTTAAAAAGAAATGTGTATTTTTGTAAACACTGCAAGCTCATTTAAAATGAATAAGAGCTAAGTTTCTTGTCAGTAGGTACTTCTGAGCTCGAAAGCACTCCAAACTGACGGTAGATTTGACATATCACACGAGTCTGTAATAGACCTACATGAATAACGATATTTTGATTTAATTTGTTTGGACTCAAACTGTCTGTCGCGTACAAGCAGTAATAAAACGCAAAAGTGAGCGTTTTGATTGGAGCGCACACCCATCCAATTTAAATCCGCGATGTAACGTACAGACTTCAAAAATCAATTGGATCGATCTAACGTACTTTGTACACTGCACCAAAATTGTAATTTATAGTAGTATTATCCATTAAATTGAAGAATATGAGCAAATTCTATCATTTCTACAACCCGTAATCAGCTGAAGCCATCATCTGGTACTATCTATTCATTCGACCCGCATCATACAGAGTATAATAAATATATATAATAAATAACTTTAAGCTACGATTTATACGTATATATATAATATACATAGGTATATAGCGCCTACACGCGTAGACATGTCGTCTAATTAACACGATATTTGAGACGTGATGTAATTTGTAATGAATCTTTGCGTTTGTTAATTTATGTTATTCTGTTTTCGATCACTAAGTCGTTTGAGATGGATGGATTGTAAATATGTATTATTTAAGAATGTTCCTATCAATTTCTTTCCAGATAATTGATGTTGTCATCTATCACACTATCACATTTCATTCAGGCAATATATTGTTCTTTTTCAGTCCACACTGTAGGCACTTAGGTAGTTATTTCAGTATTAACTCCATATCTCATCTTTTTGTCTTTCGCAGTCTTTCTAAAAATGTTCTCTTAATTTCAGGCGATAATAATGTATGTGTAAATGTATTGTTACGGCTGTCTTGTATGGATCAGAGTGCTGGCCCGTAAAGGCGACGGATGAAAGATGACTGCATGCAACTGAAGTGCGATTGTTGAGGTGAATGTGTGGTGTGATAAGAATGGATAAGATAAAGAATGAATACATTAGAGGAAGGTGTTAGATATGAATGTGGATGGTTATAAGGGCAGGGGAAGGCCGAAAAAGAGATGTATGGACTGTGTGAAAGATGATATGGTAAGAAAGGAAGTCAATAACACGATGACTGCGAACTGGGATGAATGGAAGAGAAAAACATAATACGACGACTCCAAATAAATGGGATAAGGAAGAAGCAGATGATGATATGGTTATTGTTATGGCCCGGAGTAAGACACTCGTTTTTAGCGCAGAATATCTCTCTCCCTCTCTTTTTATACTAAAACACAGGATAACTTAGCTTTATTTGTTGTTATTGTAAGTCATCATTACATAGTATAAAACAAAGTCCCTGTCGCTGTCTGCCCGTCTCTATGTATGCTTAAATCTTTAAAACTACGCAATGGATTTTGAAGCAGTTTTTTTAAATAGATAGAGTGATTCAAGAGTAAGGTTTATGTATATATGTGTATACCTGTGCTAAGCCAAGGCGAGTAGTTAGTATATTATAAATCACTTAGAAAATAATCAAAATGTTTTAGAGTTATGTAGAAACAAAAAATAAGTTGGTTAATTGATGTTGATGATTTATTTTCACTTTATTATCATATCTATGGTTTTAGTATCTTTATTTTTATAATCTTCTATTTCTCAAATCAATTAATGAAATGAAAACTTTTATAGTTCTGTTCACAGAAAAATATATTTATATATACTGTTATTTTAAATGTAAATATTATGATTTTATATGTACAGATATATAACAATGAGCAAGACAAGGAGACAACAATGGGCGGCCTTATTGCTAAAAATCTTTTCCAGAGAACCTATTTAAGCAATTAATATAAATGTTTAACATAATTTTCATATTATTACCCACCATTACTAGTCCTTTACACACAGTTCCATACAAATAAATATTTACTACTGACGCAGATGCGGAACAAATGGCATTACAATTTTGAAATATGAAATGTTTTTTCATACTCTGAATGTTTATTCACAATTCTGTGACGTTAGTGTTTAAGGTCTAATCAATAATACCATCTTGTAATTTGATTTCGATTAGAACGCGTTCAAAAGTCACAACGTTTCTTAAAATTTTTACTTTGCCAAAGTACCAACATATAAAGCATTTTCGTCTCAAGCAAATAAAATACCAGTAACATTCTTGCAAATGAGATCCCTCACATTTGCATGTAATAAACAACTTTATGTGGCAGTAAATAAAATACTTTATGGTATCCACGAGGATCCAAACTGAATCTTATTGTTATCGCTTTGTCGCAATAGAATAAGGTATTATTTTCCTTTTGAAACTGAATATAATATTACATTTGTTCACTCAAAGACAGGCATCGATGAACACTCGTGACCTTAATACGTGTTATCAAGATCACAAATATGTAATATTTCCCTAACTTTCGTTACTTCATTGTAATCAGAGTATTGTGTTCTGACATGTTGGGATACATATGTTTAGATTAATTCTATTGCTTAGGTACTATAATGCATATTTTCTACTAATTATTTAAATGCTAGGCTTTTGTAGTAGTTATATAAATATTATTATAAATATTTATTAGTTATATATAGTTAGAAAAAAGGAGATTAACAATGGGCTTAAATTTATTAAACAATACTAACAATATAATAGTTAGAAAAAAGGAGATTAACAATGGGCCCTAGCGGCTCTTTTGCTAGTAATCGAATAAAATTTGCTGGTTGGTCTCAGGTCAATATAAACACAATTCTCTTGGGAAACCATCGTAGATAATTCCTGATGAAATCGCTACGATGGGCTAACAGACTTAACTTCATCTTTACTCTATTATCATGCATTTCTTTTCTGCATTCTTCGTCTTAATTAGTTAATAAATAAAATTTCATTATAATATTTTTTTCTGTCAATACTATACATTGCCTTGTGTTTTGTTTCATAATTAGTTTAACTCATTTTTTTTTTTGTAAATAGGTTAAGGCAGGCCAATTCACTATTCTATATTCATACACAAAAAGTATTATATAAACTTTTTTCACGGTTATTAAAAATTGTACACATTATATAGTATAATCGGGATATTTACCGTGATTAGCTACCAGTTAGCTAGCTAGTATTTATGAGCTACCGCTATTTCGATACTGTGACAAATTATTGTTCAACTGAGGGTCAGTTGAAGAGTAATTTGTCACAGTATAAGTGAAATAATATAAGTAACTTGTCAGTCTAATATTACAACAGTAAAAATCCCGTTTACAGAATGTGTACGAGAATAAAACATTTGAGTACTTTAATATTGAGGCGTCGAAGTTACTTCATGCTGACTCACCCAAGCTAGCGTCGTATGTGTTCATATATTCTGACGTCATGAATTGGGACACGAGTGCAGTTTTCCCGACACCTGCATCTCCTAGTAACACCACCCTGTATTTTGGTATCTGTTGAAAGAAATAAACACACTAACATGTGCTTTCAATTCACTATAACTATATAAACTACCTGCTTAATGGTTCCGATGGTCTAGTAGTTTATAACACGGCTTAACTTCCGATGGTCGCAGGTTAGATTCCTCGCACGGCACAAACATTTGCATTCATGTATATGATTGTTAGTATCGGTCTGGGTATATTCTATGTATATTATGTACCAATTTCGAAAAAAATTCTATGTATTTATCAGTTATCTAGTATTTATAACAGAAGCTCTGCATAACATGATGCGAGATGACGCTGTGTAAATTGTTTAGATATTTTATAAACTATAAATTGAACGAAAACTTTTTTTGGCTACTGGCTAAATTGATCTTCTATCTGATATAAGATTCTGTTCATCTTGTAATATAATTATTTAAAATTTTTCCTACCCTACCCGGTAGGAAAAAATTTAAACAATAGTTTTAATAGACTTTTTTTGCCTGTCAACATTCCCTTAAACTTTTACCCTATATTATTTATAAAGATCTCAGGCGTTATAAAAGCTCACTCAACTAGTCTAGATTGTGGTTTTATTGTCTGCATCCGAATTCAATTGAAATGCAATCATTTTTACCCATTAAACTATAATAGAAGATATAGCTGTGTGATTACCTGAATATATCAGTGAAATTACTATGCAAACTGCTTTATGCAAAGTGTTCTAATTTAAAAATCTATGGGGATGTGACAAGGCATAACGAATGTTGTGACGAGTAGATACAGCACATTTTCCAATGTGTATAGATTTCCACAGGACGGATTGTCATGTGTAAGAAAAAATGACCGTACAAAACGTACCGCATCCAGGTCGTCTTCATCAGGCGTGGTGAGACTGGCGGAGTCTACAGGCCGGTACCCCGAACAGCAGGAACCATCAAATGGCGATCTGTCTGATGCTCTGAGGACAATTATCAGGAGTTAGACGTATTATATAGTGTATTATCATTACATAGTATAAAACAAAGTCGCTGTCGCTGTCTGTGCGTCCGTTTGCTTAAATCTTTAAAACTACTCGATGGATTTATATTCTTTTGTTTAAAACTACGCAACGGATTTTGAAGTTTTTTAAATAGATAGAGTGATTCTAGAGTATGGTTTTTATATATAATACATGTACACACGGGCGAAGATAGGGCGAGTAGCTGGTTTAAATATATATTCAAAATTCAAAATATATACCTGCTTCATAATTAATAAATACATAGATTTTTTTTCGTAAATAAACACGTATTAACATAGAAAACACCCAGACCGACACAAACAATCATACTCATAAATACAAAATGTTTGTGCCGTGTGAGGAATCGAACCCGCGGCCATCGGATATAAGGCAGTGTGCTAAACCGCTAGACCACCGAGGCTGTCACATTTACATATTTGTACATACATACATGAGGAGTATCACAGACATCACACGATAACATTATATCCGTAATAAAAAAAAATTGTGACTTTTGTTATTTCAAATTCAAAGCTTTTCACTATATGCATAAAGTACATATATGCGGTACTGACATCAAATAATCAAACTTTAGAAAAAAGTCTGTCTGTCAGTCTCTGAATTTGACGAGATTTTCATCCGCTGATAGGTCATAATACAAGGAGTACCTTAGGCTGCTTTATTTTAAAATTTTAATGTTTTTAATTAAAAAAAATTAAATTCCATGCGATCAAAGTCGCAGGTAACAATATCTATAAAATGGAGGACCAGCATTTTTATCATTTTCGTTTCATAAAAATATACAGAAAATAAAATAAACATACCCATATTTTGTGTTGATCAAACACTAAGTCTTTCTCCAACCATTTTATGCATATATGTATACCAAAACAAAATAGAGGTCATTGCACTCTACTCTTCCCTTTTTTCTAATATTAGGTACCTATTCGTGACAGACGAAATATTAAATGTTCTAGAAAGAAATTAAGCTGTCGAGATTCCGCGCAAATAGCACATAAATGTGTTTGGAACAATGTTATTTTGAATATATTTCCCTTTGCCCTAGTTTCCACCCCTGTTTGATCCGATTTTGATAGTAGATAGTCAACTACATTTTATTCGTATCGAACGGAAGTTAGAAATTGCTTGGCATAACCTTATAGAAATTCAATTTTAAACAGCATATAAAGTTTATACTGGTAAATGTAGCTATATAATTTACTATTTCTGTCTGCTCAAACCTTCATTCTCTGTTTCATCCCTATGCAAAACATTTTGTGAGAAAAAGATAACCTATAAATAAATCTCGTGATAGAATCTCTGCGTTGTATTAAATAATAATAATAATATCTCAGATCAATTCACACAACGCCATCTAGTGCCAAGCTAAGCAGAGCTTGTGTTATGGGTACTAGACAACTGATATAAATTCATGGATGCAATTTATTTTGTAAATAAATACATATACATATACGTAGAAAACATCCAGACCGATACAAACAATCATACTAATGACTACAAATATTTGTGCCGTGCGAGGAATCGAACCCGCGACCATCGGATAGTAAAGAGATATGCTAAATCTAATGTTTCACTACCATCCAGAATATTTCAAAGAGATAAAAGACAACCTATCTTCGTTCCCTTATATATAGAATCTATCTTTATGACACAATTCATTAATATCTGTTAGCCGTTTAGCTGTGAAAAGTTAATAAAGAGGCACACTTTTGCATTTATAGTTTTATATTAGAATTTACAAGCGATCAGACGTATGCAATTATTGCAAAAACTAAAACATAGGCAAGCGACTTGTCAAAAAAGACAAAACACAAGCGCCAGAAATAGAGAAACAGATTGCCCACGCAGGCAATTCTCAATTATATTAGGTTAAAGACTTTTGGGCACAAACCCTTTCTCAAAAGCATTTGTCCTTTGTCGTAATCACATTATTATCGTAGTTAACACTCAGAGGAAACACTGCGAACAGCTGCAAGAGACCGCACCAATCTACTTCCTTCAGTTCCACAACAAATAATCCCCACAAAGGGAATCAGCCCTTTGATTGACTTATCAGACCCCGCGCTCCGGATACAGCCCTATCCGTTCATTAATTATGAATCGCTAATTTAACAGAATCTACTAAATCAATCATCAGGATGGTTCATTCAACTATAACATGTATATCTTCACGTCCCTAACCTCACTGCTTTAATTTAGATTTTCTCAGTTTCGCCTATTACAGCCAAGCAGCTTCCTTTAAGCTGTTTCGGTTGTAAGGTGAGAAAAATGAGTGAAATTACAGGATAAAATGTATTTACATCTGGTCCTCTGGAATAGCTACGCACTAGCGGTAAGACGGACCTCACATGAAGAAGGAAAGAAAAGAAGCTATTAATTTGGCACATAATAGTACGATGTATGTAGTCGTGTTAAGCTATATAGACGACAGTTACCATATACCTACCATCAGGTGGGCTGTCAGTTGTATGCCGTTCAAGTTACATGAAAAAGTACTCCATATAGGTAATTTATAAATATAAACCTAGTTATAATTAAGCAATCACATCATTTATGAACATATGACATGAAGCACATAGGTAAATAGTTTTTAATTTTATTAAACCAATATCTTAAACAGTATTAGGGAATATTGTAACACGAGTTCTTTCTGGACAATGTAAAACATCAAACAGGCATATATGTTTTTGAATGATACGTTTATACTGAACTAATACTTGTACCACAGATAATATAATATTAAGTGATAGTACATTATGCAGTTTCAACATCGAAATTAGTCTTGATACAAAACAGAAATAAGGAAAATCGATGACAGTGAAAACAAACGCTTCATAAATCTATGCGTGGTATACCCACTGAGTAAATAATCACTGCGTGGTTTACCAATCGTTTTACCACAAATACAATGCCATTGTAGCGATAACAAAATTCACATCTCTCAAAAGCAAGGTAACCATAAGTTCTATTGAAGTTGGGACATGTCTCTATTGAATATTTTTGATAATACATTAGTAAAATAACCTGGGAGAGCCAGTCGAATCTTGTCTAGTGGTTAGTGGTAGTGGTAACACGACACTTTAGTCTCTGCGTAAGCGAAGAGCTGGTAAATGTAATATTGGAAAGAGGATATTTTTTGACGAAATGATATATTATACATATATTACATTTGTACACAAAAAATAACAGATAAAAGAAGAATGACAGAATACAATATTTTCAATCTATCTATATATATAACTCAAAGGTTACTGACATAGTGATCTATCAACGCACAGCCCAAACCACTGGACGGATCGGGCTGAAATTTGGCATGCAGGTAGATGTTAGACGTAAGCATCCGCTAAGAAAGGGTTTTGATTAATTCTACCCCTAAGGGGAAAACTTAAAGCGAGCGAAGCCGCGGACAAAAGCTAGTATAGAATAATAGACAAAAACATAAACTGTATATATAAAAAAGGTGCGTCATGTACAATCTAGATATAGGAATACATGAGGTACAAGTTATCTAGATTGTTGTACCGTACAACGGGCGTGACGTTGTGGTGGTCTTTGTAGTATCTGTGATGTATCTAATACGTCCAACGTTTTGCCACATTTGACAAAGTGATTCGTTTTCAAGTATATGAATGTATTTCAATTATACAAAAAGAATACAATCAAATATAAATAGAGTCAATTTTCATTAATTATGCATCTTGTTTTCAATGCCAAATCACCTTTGAAGTTCACTGAAGTTTGTCTATTCATCCCACTTCTCTCCGTGTGAATGGGCACCCTAGTGGAAAGGCGCAGCTGTGCCTAAAGCTATTACACGGGGCTTTGGTCGCGCCATTAGTTTTAGTGAATGTACATCGTATGTTACCCACTTACCGCGACCTCATTTCTTCAGCCTTCAAGCTGGATGCTTACAAATCCGTTTTAATGGCATATTGTAAAATAGAGACAAAACATACACATTGAAAGATAATCGATATGTAAGAAGAAGCAAAAAATAGTTTTATACGCTATAATAAAGGAAGCGTTTTTCTACCTCGACAGGTCGTGAGTCCAAATCTGTGTCAATGTATACTTTGATTGACTTTTCAGCATTGGAAACACATAGTTTTAACACGACTAACTTAAATCGATTTTATGTTCACATTTGTTTAGTTTGTCAGTTAAAAGTCGATCCACATTTTTTTTATACAATTCATTTATATGATTTTATTTAACCTAGGGCCTTTGCTGAATATTAGCGCAGTAATTTCAGTTGCAGTAGTGAAGGATGATAAGATGAGCATATGATCAGGTCTGTTCACCAGAAACTTAACACGATTGGTTTTAAGGAGAAATACGTGGAGGTCATCTTGATAATGATCTCATAGCTAGCAATGTGGCATTGGTGGCTATTGGCCTATAAGTTCACATTACTAATAATTGCCTTTCCCTCCGCTGAATACTATTATTACTGTACTATTCGCTGCCATTTGTCATTTGAGGCAATTATATAGCCATAAACGCCCACAGGATATTAAGTAGTATTTATTACACAGACGAGCATGCGGCTCACCTGATGGTAAATGCCCATGAGCACCAGGGGAATTACAAGTACGTTATCGCCCTTTTAAAAAGGAATAAGCTCTTTTCTTGAAGGTTTTCAATATCACATCGGTTCGGAAATACTATTGCCGGAAGATGATTCTACAATGTTGTGCGTGGCGAAAAGTTTCTTCAAAACCGCACTGTGGAGGACCACCATTCATCCAGATGATCAGGATGGTATTTCAGTTTCTGGCGGGTGGTACGGTAGTGAAACTCAGCAGCTGGTACTAATCCGAACAATTCCTCAGAACACTCCCCGTGATGTATGCGGTAGAAAATACACAGATATGCAATATCTCGCCGCAGTATAATAGTATAATCATATTCCGTTAATTACACCGTCCCATCATTAGGTGACAAATGCTTGTGTCCGCGGCTCAGGTTAATTACATCTTATTAATTAATCTTTGAGGCAGACACAGAGAGGACACGAGTAATTACCAGAATTAGTTGACCCCGTCCCTTGCCACCTAATGAATGCCTGATAATCTTTTATGTCAACTACGAAGCTATATATTTCCTTGCGTTTCATTTAATGTGATTAATACAAAAATGTTCTTCATATTTTCTAAATATTTTGAGCCCGTAGCACTCGTTACGGGCTTACGGATTCGACCATAATGAATTTAAATTATAAATTTAAACATTATTAAGTTTCTATTGTCAAAAACCTTTATGCGTGTGTGTGTGTCAAGTAAATGGTAGCGCTGTGTAATGTTTTTTTTAGTGATTTGATGTATTTTTATAAATATTTTTTAAGAAATATGCTAATTAAGAACTTCATCTCTAAATATGAACTGTAGAAAGACATAATCAGTAGAGTATATATCAGTAAATTATGTTTTTAATATGTCCATTGAAAATTAAAAATGAAATCTCTCTTATCTAATTATATTAGTTTTGATAAATGAAAAACTCAAGATACTCCCACAATTTCATTATACAAATGTTCTTTGAATGAAAAAACTGTTTACGGCGAAATTGTAAAGCTGGTCCAATTTAATTTACGATTTCTTGAAATATTATTGGAAAATTTTAGGTTATCCACAGTGGCTGAGACGCGAACATTTTTGATATTAAAAAATAGAAAGCGAATTAGTGATTTAATATATTCTTTGTTCATTTACCAATTGGACTTCTAATAATCCATTCTAAATATATATTTACAATTCGAAACGTGTCTCTCTGTCGGATAGACAGAAATATCTGTCTATCTGTCACCTTGTCATCAAATCTCGTTATGTATATACATCTGATATATTACGCTGCTTATACGGTAATTTTAATTCACACCTGACTTACGAAAGTGAAACTTATTTTTAAAGTTTAGTATAGCATTACGGGTTATGACACAAATAATTTTATGATATTACTTTACTTAGTAATACCTTATTTACCATATTACTGTTATAATGCCGTTACTGTTTAACTATATGTTAATAAATTGAAACATAAATTTGTACGACATTCGTTTAAGCAACAGGCAAGTTTCTTGCTCAATCTTCTTAGTTGTGACTGCATTCCGAATGAGCAGTAAATTAAAAATATATGAATATTTAAAGGTGCTTAAAAGTATTTTTGCTTGAGTAAAGAATTTTTCTTTTCCACCCGCTATCCCCGTTCATTTTCTCCCAAAGTGCGAAAATCTTTTTATTTCTCTTTAAGTCAATGTTTTAGACGAAATGGTATTCACAAATGACTGGACATCGACCTACTTAATTCGGTCCAATGTCCGTAATTCCCCTATTTTTATGCTAATGCACAGTCATTCAAAGACAACATTCCCAAGACAAATTAATCAACACAAAGAAACGGACAAGTGGGTCAGGTCAGGTGATTTGGTAGTCACGCAAAGTTCTAATCAGCCAAAAATCTTGGTAAATCCATTTAGTAATCGGGATACTGGAGAAAATCGTGTTTTGTTATTATGACTTCCGCGACATTCTGGTCGGAAGGATTATTGGGCGTATACAGTAGGATTATTAGTAATTGGGGATTTGGAGCCCTATTGTACAATGGGGCCACAAATCCCTAATGTACCATGTATGTGTGATCGATCACTAAGCGGTCGCTCCTGGAAATCGTCTAGTTAATTCCGGATCAATTAGCTAAGATGGGCTGACTTGCCTTCGTAAACATCCTGTCATTCTTCACTAGTGCCCTGTAAATAGCGTAGCGTAGCCAGGTGCATCGTTCCATTATAAAATGTCATGCCAAGCCTTACGTGCGACTAAACCTAAGAACCTTCATGGGTAATTCCTTGTGAGGTATTCACAAGGAGCCATAATTGACATGAGTTTATCTTCTTACAAAGCAAGCTCCTATACAAAATAACTATTTTTTTGCTTTTAAGAAAACAAAAAAGTAATGAAGTTGCAATAAAAGTATTCAAAGGTATTGTAGGTTGGACTCCAGTCTCCGCAATTAGCCTCTCATTCTGGCCGTTGTGCGTGCAGAGCCAGACTACTAAAGTAGCCAGCCAAGCTCCTCCCAAAAGCGCAGAAGACTCCTGGTGTCTTCACAGGCTTCACGGAGCGACCTCACCGTTCCGAGGATTTGTTTTCGTCGTTAGGCCACTGCCGTGCACTCCAGGATTAAGTGAGCCGCCGTTTCTTCAGCTTTAAAGCAGCCCCGACATAGGGTACTGTCTGTAGCATCAATTTTGTTTAAGGAACAATTGCCCGTTATTGTCCCTATCATTATTTTAAGGTCTGCCTATGCCTATCTAGATTAAGTAAGCGTGTATTCAAAGGTATACAGGATACGCAATTTCGGAGAGATGATACGATCTTAATTCTTCGAATTTGCAATTACTAATTGATACCACTGGTATCACTTAATAATATAACGTCCGCGATACTGTTTATACAGATATGTAGGTGATGATTGTCATAACCTTGTTAGCTAGTATGTTTGCAATTACTTCTCCCGCCTACACTACACCACCAAGGAGCAGGACATTGTCGACTACATAGGGACCAGAACTAATCTGAGATTGAGGGTGACGCAGCTGGAGTTGAGTCACAAAACATGTAACTAGGCGTTTATGGCCCGTGTTCCCACCAACATGCTTACCATCTACATGAAGGAGGAATACTTTTCGAAGTGTGTGATTTATCGGCGTTACCATGGCAGATTGCCGTCATCCGTGCCGTGACCACACAGACAATTTATATTTTACTAGCCTTTGCCCGCGGCTTCGCTCGCGTAGTAGTAAGTATTATTATAAATTAGGTATAGTTTTAGTGGCTTTACTTTTGTTTAGCGTGTGTAAAAAATTAGGGCCTACAAAATCTAAGAAGATATTTTACTTAGGGGTGGAATTTATCAAAATCCTTTCTTAGGCGGTGCCTACATCATAGTAGCTTTATGCGTGCAAAGTCTCAGCCCGATCGGTTTAAAATTGACAAAGTTTCATACAAACTTTCATCCCCAATTTTATTTTATTTGAGTTATATATATTTAGATTATTATTTCATATGCATTAGTCCATAAGGTATTTATATTATGGGCTACTGGCTTGAATTAAATAAATTACATAAAAAATATGTACCTGCTATTAGTAGAATTGACTGAAGTATTGGAGCGACTTCTGCGGTTGCAGATGGAGTCGCCGCAATTGACGACGCCCCCTTTGGTGGTGATGGAGAAGGTCCGTAGCCTGTACAGGTCGTCGGAGAGTCGCGGGTTGTACGGCTTCTCGGGCAGTGAACACACTCTTGGTCTGGAGTGTTCCACAACTAGAGGAAAAAGAACACACTTTCATTAATCATTATATTAAATCGTGAAGCAAAAACTTTGTACCCCGTTTCATGAAAATTGCGGAGTAGTATGAAATTTCGTACGCTTATATTTTATATAGAGAAGGAATGCAGAATGCTAAATTATGTATAAAAATACATTAAAAACTATTATACACACTACCATATATTAGACACACGTACAGATATATACTTACTCTTTTTTACTTGTTTAATTGTTATTGCTGGTTCAAAGATCTTTTTGTATTTTTCTTTTTAAATATTAAAAAATGCAAACGTTATAATTACTATAACGAGGTAAAACGAAATAGTTTTTTTAATTATATATCACTAGTTTTTTTGGGTCTGTGTGTGGTTGTATCTTCATTTAAAAAGCGTAATAAGAAGATTTGAAGAAGATAAAATTGAAGAATTCGTTAACAATAATAATGTTTTTATAGAAAAACTTAAAATCCATAGCGCTGAAATCTGATTACACTAATAATGAGTGCGTAGCGATTTCTATGTTGATTATCACAAGCCTCTTACTTGTTATACTGTAATTAATTATATAAAAAAACATCTATTCAAAAGAGCAAAACACAAGTTTCTTACTCATTCTTCTTGTGATGAATCTGCATTCCGAATGAGTGGTAGAATCAAAATATGACTATTCAAATGTGCTTGTAATGAGTTTCTTTGAATAAAGATTATATCTATTTCTATTTCTATAAATGTCTAGTACGAAGGTGTTAAACAATGAAATCAATAATTACTAGCAAATACAATAATTCTGTAAGTACTATTGTATCTATTCAAATAACAATGCAGTGAGCTGAAAGCGAAATACTAGAGATACCTACTGTTAAGTTATATTCCTTTGACTAAAGTGACAATTAATCCTTGTCAAAATGTTTGAGGACTAAAAATTGTGAGAAAATCATTCTATTTTCTGTTACTACAAAAGTAAACAAGCTACCTGATAGTAGAAGAGGAAACGCCAATACACATCCTATGTGATTGTATATAATGCGACTCATGCATAAACGAAATATCTCCTTTGGAAAGTTTACACTCTTTCCCGAAGAGACAAAAACCATCACTCCTAAGATATCCTTCAATTCTTGTCCCTGAGGGGTCTAGGTAGTCTACACTCTTAAAGGGTGAGCACAATAGATCTACGTCACAGGCCACAGGTGCTACAGGTACCTGACAATAATCCAAACAACCCAATAAAAAAACCTAATAGTAAGAGCTTATCCTTGTCTATATACGTGATACTCATGCATAGTAATTCCGAAGGAGTAAGGTACCATCACTTCAAAGTCATTCCACTATATTTTAGCGTTCAATCGAAAGACCACTCCGATCGATCCATCTTTCAATTCAAACTACAGCAGGATCCTCCTGAAAGATACGACTTTAGTCTGAGGGAGACTAAAGTCATATCAATCAGGCAGGAGTCAGGCTTTAGGCGCTCCATAAGTCCTTCCGCGGGTTTGGAGTGCCATCTTCACTCGACCCTATCGTCTGGTGAAGCTGTAAAGTCAGCTATGACCAACAGTAACTATATCGAAACACAGTTTACTGAGTAAGCCATCTTTGGGGCTAAAATAATTGATATAGATAGTACTGCGTAATCGACTTTGTTGAAAGTGTGATTCGATAAAATAATAATTCTTACTAATATTATAAATGCGAAAGTAACTAGTACTAGTAGTCTGTCTGTCTGTCTGTCTCACTTTCATTCCAAAACTACTGATATAAATGAAATTTGGTACACAGATAGTCTAAATCCTGAGAAAGGACATAGGCTACTTTTTGAAGCGAAAAAAGGGTTGTAAGGGGTTGAAAGAGGAAATGAAAAATTGTATGGAGGTATCGTCATTTTAGAAGCTTGAAACTTATTTTTGAGCTGTTGATTCAATATAAATGTGACATTATAAATGTGACAATATAAATGTGACATTCAAAGTTTGTAAAAATTTTACCCTTAAGGGGGTTAAAATGGGGGGGGGAAAATTGTTTGAAAATCCGTTATTTTTGTAGCTAGAACGATGACACTTTTTTCTTTAACGTTTTTAGGTCAATTATGAAATATTTTTTGGCCAAGGTAACCAAAAAATATTTCATACTCTGACAGACTCAGGCGGACGAAGTCGCGGGCACAGCTAGTAAATAAATAAATTTAAAAATATGCTTCTAATATTTTTGCTTTATATTTATTTGCAATTTGTTTTAAACGTATGCAATTTATATAGACAAATTAATGTTGTCGGTTTGAAAAGGACTGTGTTAAGCGTGAAGTATGGTCACATTAGCTATAAGTGTAAAGCTTGCTAAGTAAGATATTTAATAATTCATGCTTTAAATCTGTATGTCAATGTTTAAGTTCCGAATTAATATTCTGTATTGACTTAAATTTAATTCTGTATTGAATTTACGTTTGAAATTAACTTTAAAGTCTGTTGGATCAAGTTCAAACGACATGTCTTCATTCATTAATACATAATTAAAACGATATTTGTAGTATTATATACGAGTACAAGAGGGACACGTGTTTTCATATAATTAAACAAACAGTCAATTTTGTTAGAAAAGCGTGTTTCTGAAAATGTTTAATCTATACATATAAATAAGATTGGAGTGTCTGTTTGTAATATTGAAATAACCATTTTTTACTACATGCATATGAATATACATTGTAAAAAACATTTTTTACAATTTTTGTCTGTCTGTCGGTCTGTTCCGGCTCATCTCTGAAATGTCTGGACCGACTTTGACGGGACTTTTAATGGCAAATAGTAAAATTAAATATTAAAAATAAATCTAATCAAAATAATAATTTGATTAGATTTTTTGCTCAATAATCACCGAATCGACTGTACATTTAACTTATCATAAGTTCAACATTAATAATAATAATTTGATTAGATTTAATTTAGGTAATGAAACTTTTAAACTGGCTGTCCACTCCGTTTTCTTAATATAATAACCCCGAATGTTCTCTTTACAATACGACGATGTAATAAATACACACAGATAATATTAAAATTTCTCGAAATACATGTTTAAAAGTACAACAACATTACAGCTTCTTATCTGAATACACTTCCATGAACGGTAAAATAACAATAGTCTTCACTGTGGCAGCGATTTTGAGCCTAAGTGTTATTCTGTTGTATTAAGCTATATTACTGTAAAGTTTAATTAAATTCTATTTAGTAGTTTTTTCGTGAAAGAGTAACAAACATCCAGCCATCCTTAAGATCTTGTGACTATAGCAATTTGCTCTGTGATATAGTCATTAGTTGTACAATGCGACTGGCATGTGTTTTTAGTTTGTATAAAAGTTCCTAAATTGCAATGAAATAAACATCCATCCATACTCACAAACATCCGTGTTTATAATATTAACTAGTTTAAGTTAGAATAAAAAATATTTCCTTTCTAGCCTATTTCACAGTTACATGCACATAAATTAATATATGATTGCATATTCTGTACTTTAATCCACTTTAATGTGATTCCACCCATCACTTGAATTTAAGTTCTATTCCATCTCACACGATTTCCTACGGCTCGCTACATAAGTAATGATGCCTCCTGAAATATTGAAATGTACTCTGCATAATATTTTAGATATTTCAATTGATCGTGAAGTCTTCGATAGCTTAAGCGGATTTATGAGAATGAAACGAACCTACTTGTAAGTGACGCTCAAATTACTAATTGATGTTATTCTCACTAATCGTACAGCACTGTTTGTTAATATATAATAGCAGACTATGGAAGAGTGTTTATTTCAATATCTAAAGTATTATTATTAAGAGTAAAGGTTAGAATTTGTCATATGCTTGCTTGTAATGGATAAAAAAGCGTTTTCATCGTTTTGACTTAAAAATTAACGAATATCCATACAGATTTCCATAGAACTCAATGAACAGCCTAAAAAATAGATTTTACAAATGACAATATCTCCATACAAACTTTCATCTCGCATCAAATTTAGCATATGTTCTTTCAGGGACTATGTGTGTACCAAATTTCATTTGTATCTGTTCAGTAGTTTTAGCGTGAAAGGGAAACAAACAGACAGACAGAGTTACTTAAGCATTTATAATATTAGTAAGCATTTAATACAAGCAAGGCAGACATTGCACAAAGAGAATAAATTAATATCTAGGGGCGGTTACGAGAAAATTTATATATCTATCCCAAGATACGAGATTATTGTTTGCATTTCAACAATTAAAGATCGGTAAATATGTTTTTATAAAAGAAGGCATGGAAACCATATTTTTAGGCACCATTTCTATAAAAAATTAAAGCAAAAATGCATTTTCAGTAATTGTCTTACGCTTTTTTTATATTGGACATAAAAAAACTACACTATACAAATATCAAATTACAAAACTTGTCACTGATATTTTTAAAAGACTGCCTTATAAATATGTACTTTGTAATGCAATCATAAACAAAAAGAGTTTCCAAATTCCTCTCAATTGAAGCATCCAGCTGAACTGAATCAGTACGATTAAAGATACTAATAAAATATTTAAAGTGCATAAATGGTAAAATATTCCGAATGAATAAATGCTTATGAATTTGGCTTTGAGAGTGCCAATAACGGATATTGGCCGGTAGATGGTGCGGCGACCACCCACGCTCTTTTACCTATGCACTATCGCTCAATATAGGATTACAAAGTTCTGCTTTCATGCGAAACCTGATCTCTAACATAACGATTAAATGCATGATAAAATTTCGTAGTACCTACTGAAAATGTGGGTGTTCATTATCGCACCCACACCTCCAAGGAGTTATGAAGTCCGATGCAAGAGATATTTATAAAGTCAAGATATATATATATATATATATATATATATATTATAAACTAGCTGTACCCGCAACGTCGTTCGCGTGGAATTTAACTTTATTGTCTATAATGAAAGTAGTCTAAATTACTCCTTATTACATCAGCGACACCGATTTTGACGATTAGCCATTTCAGAGATTAGCCTGAAGAAATAGGGAGACAGACAAAAATTGTAAAATGTTCATATGTATGTGTAAAAAACGGTTATTTCAATATTATAAACATACAGACATACATACTAACTAGCTGACCGCACAACTTCGTTTGCAACACACTAATCATAATACATATATCGCCCAATTTACATAATATCTTTTTAAATTACAGCCTATGTGTTATTCTGATGTATAAGCTATCTTACTGTAAAGTTTCATCAAAATCCATTCGGTAGTTCTTGCGTGAAAAAATAACAAACATCCATCAATACTCACAATTTTTCACGTTTATAATATTAGTAAGATATAAGTAATATATAGGAGTAATCTTGATTCAAAGCAGATCCAGAACAAATTGAATGAGGCGGTTGCTCTTTTAAAGTAATGTTCCTCAACAATACAACTTTGTTTGTTACTAGTAAATAAATGAAAATAACAATCAGAAAACAAAATCATGGAAACTAATAGTTAATTTTCACTAAGACAAGTTGATTAGTAACATTTTAGTATAAAATAAATACGTGCAATATATCAACATATATATATTCGTATGGATCTGTACCAATGTTACTAGAATGAAAATTAACCTAATAGTTCACCTGATTAGTAATAACACTCGATAACAAATGAACAGCACCACAGATATATCGTTATCATGTGACAGACCTGCGTACCCTGTAATTTCTCGGTAGATAAAAAACAAATTGTTATGACTATTCAAAAGTGCTTAAATTAAGTTTATTTGAATAAATGATTTTCTATTCTATTCTATTATCTACCATCCTACAGGTAAAGTCTAAAAGATTACCTATGGTTGGCAGCTATTATCAAATTCGATATTTATAAACGATGCTTAGCGAGCAACTGTACGCAAGGGACTTGCGGTTTTGTCGCGGCGTACCCTTATGATCTTCGGTCTCTTTAAATATTCAATGGTAGCTCTATCTCAACCTGGGACGCATTTAGAAACCTTTTTTATGTACGAGTAAAACATAATTTAAACATTCAGCGTTGGAAAAAAGTCTCTCTGTTTATTATAATTAGAGCTCGTTTTTCATGTTTTAATTAAAACTGTCTGCGGTCTGGTCTACGTGGGATATAAATTATATAGAATTCCGCAAATACACGGTAGAATTAAATTTAAATAAAGAAACTTCTTATTTAGAATCGTCTTCATAAATGTGATTTACCAAGCATCTTCAGGATTTTTAGCGGGGTATGCTTTGTACATAAATGGTAGCCGCCGTGGATACCAATTTCTGCGAGTAAGCTGTTTACTTTGTAGCCTGTATTGGATTGAAGAGTGTTAAATTACTGGATAAAAAACATAACGTCTAAGTTCTCCAGAATGACAAAGCATGAGTGTGTCCTATGATAACATGCTGTCTGTAGTGCATGTATATAGATAATCGTCAGCTTGTACGGCAGTCCAGTTACATAAAAGATACGCGAAGCCGAGGTGGTTTCATAGTGTAATATATTCTGAAATCTGAAATTGAGTTAAATATATGATAAAATTTTAATGTTATGAGTCTCAATGACATCTCGACAAACTGTAGAAGGGCAAATTATGATTAAAACGAAACATCTGAACTTTAAACGTCTTAAATTTACAATATCACAGGCTTATCTAGAACGTAGGTATATAAATTGAAAAGTAATTTAATATTAAGCAATAAGTTATCTTGTACTTAGGAACGTTCTTTGTATTTATTCAAATTCAATTTTTCCCGTGGGATTGTTTGCGTGGAAGAATATGTCTTTAGATATATGTAATTTTTTCCTAGGTAGACTTTGCAAGAAGTCGTCTGCGTGAGTAACTCAGTCTCATTTAAGTAAGCCGTCAAGCAGCTTATGTTACAAGCTGAGTTTTTCTTGAAGAGCAGTGAAATTACAAGATAAGGGGCAAGACATGTTAGTTCTCCGGGTAACACATGAGTGGTAGCACATCTGAATAGCATCACATGATAACATAAAGTCTGTAGAACTGTTCTATAATATTTTTACCGCTTACCTTCAGGTACTCTATCATCTTTTTGCCATTTCAATTATATAAAATAAGTATATTACGAGAAAAAAATACATCCCGTAGAGCGAGGTTGGCGAATCGACGGCAACAGCTAGTATATTATACGTGCGTATGTAAGTCTTTGAACTCACCTGGTAATTCAAGAAAGTTCGACGTTCTTCTTTGTCGGCCACGCATTGTATTTTGAAAGTTTAAGGGGCCGATATCTTCCACTGAATCGCAATTCGACATCGTGGACTCCCTCGAACCTCTTCTACTAGCTAAGTATGCCAAACCACCTTTCATAGATCCTCGTCTCATTGGGGAACACGGTCTGCTAACGCTGGTCGACCTAGTCTGCGGCGTATCGTCCGTCATATCTGTGAGATCTGATGTGGACTTCCTACAGATCCTCGAGGAGGTGGTAGTTGCTTCATCATCAGCGTCATGGATTATTGCTGAAGGAGTACCGGGCATCGCATCTGTCGAATCATCAGTATGACTCGACACTATGCTTGGAGAGGTAACCAGCCTTGGTGAGTTCACTGTGGAAGTAGAGCCATATAATTTTCTCGTGCGATTTGGTGATACGTAACCAGGATTGGTATGAATATGCACGGGTGGTGGCTTTGGGGATCTGGACTTTTCTCGACGACTATGCTTCAGTGACGTGGTGTAATGGAGGCCGTGAGATCTGTCGAAATTACTGGGGCTGGACCGTCCTGAATGATTTTGAGGAAAATTAAAGTGTCTGGGACTAATAGGACTTCTATGGCCGTGAGCGATTGGAGATTTGGGTGGTTGGTTATGTTTGTCATAGCTACAGCCTGATTGCGGAGTATAGTATCCTGATGAGGAGGTGCTTGATGTTATGGAGGGACTTTTTTGGGGGAAAACGAAATGGCGAGGACTTTTTGGAGTTAGGGGCTTAGGGGATACGGGAGGATATCCACCAGGACTATTCACTGCCATCATGAGGTGGTTCACTTCACTTCAGCTTGCCACTCATATCTGCTGCATCTGTAAAGAAAACAGAAATCATTCACATAAAACGAAAAAAGATATTCTTCCAAATTATTGAAAACATTTCATAATCTTATATATATTAGTCAAATTTAAGAGAATCGGATGCTATTGATATTGTCTGTGGCAAAGATATAAGCAAAATACACATCGAATTCCACGTTATTTTTGCCACTCACGTTGCACGTTATTTTAAGAAAGAAAGAAAGAAGAACATTTATTGTCAACCATTTTTACATATACATTTGACAATTATTACACACTTTACACTTTTTACACTTTTAACTGACCTGTTATATTTGTTTACAAATATTATGTCAAATTTTCATATTTTGAACCATTCGAAACTCATTTCGTAACGGAAGAAACTATTATTTGCGGGATAATTTCAAATATGCGGTTTCAAATTGAATTATTCAAATCGAGGAGAGACATGATTAATTATAGCTTAGCTAATATGAAACATTTCACAGAGCGGTCTATCTATAGAGTGCATGCAATTCACATATTTGATATTGGTCGACTTTATTTTAGCTTTTCCAAGTTTCATATTAGCTACGCTATATCCTTACTACTATTATAAATGCGAAAGTAACTCTACCTGTCTATCTATCTGTCTGTCTGTCTCGTTTTAAATACGCCAAAATCACTAAACCGATTTAAACGAAATTTAGTACGCAGATAGTATATAACCTGAGAAAGGACATAGGCTACTTTTTAATCCGAAAAAAGGGTTGATAGAGGAGATGAAAGGTTATATGGAAGTATCCACAATTTAAGCGGACAAAGTCGCGGATACGTCTAGTAGGATAATATAGGCACCATCCGAGATACTGTTTAAATATACACGTATATATAGGCGACAGCGACAGGTCCTACTAGAATCTAGTGCTTCCAGCTTGTTTGGTATTCCAGTTTCAAAACGGCCTGAAGTCCTCTGTGGTCTGGCTGTTTAGCATACCTTTATACGTTTAACACAGCCTTACATCCGGCAGTCACGGCGTCGATTCCTCATATACAATCTTAGTACAAACATAAGTTTGATTGTTTCTTTTAGTAACCTTATATATAAAGTTCTCGTGTCACAGTTTTCGTTCCCATGCTCCTCCGAAACGGCTTGACCGATTCTCATGAAATTTTGTGAGCGTATTGAGTAGGTCTGAGAATCGGCCAACATCTATTTTTCATCCCCCTAAATGTTAGGGGTAGTCCACCCCAAAATTTTTTTTTATTTTTTAGACAAAATTTTTAGTTTCTATTTTTTTATGATCTATTATCAACCCCTATTTTGTTATAGCGTTATTAATCTATATGGCAAAACAAAGTTTGCCGGGACAGCTAGTATTTTATATATTTACTAAATGAACGCTTATGTATTTGTATCAGTTGTTTAGTACCCATAACTCAAACTCTGCTGTGGCGTGAGACTAGATGGCGTTAAAAAATATGTTGGCATTAAACATAGCGCGGATTTTATCATGATTACAGCATCGTGAATGCAAATTCTAGAACTATAGTGTTGCAGTTTCGTTTTTCGACATCACTCGACTAAAGATTTATTCCTTATGTTTATTTCCTTTTTAAACAATGTATTACAATAGAATTCATGAAAATACACAATTAATTATACCACAGCAATGATATGGAACATTCCACAGAGCGGTCTATATATCTGGCTTATATTTATACTTGAACGGTTGTGACATTGTATTCCATTGCTCTCTGAAAGCTTCACTGAAAGACACAAGCGAAGGCGAGTTCACTCGGATTTAAGTGTATTCGTCAATTACTATTATTTTAGGTACAAGTTGAATAGTTTTGTCATTATTAATAGCGATTATAAAAACTGTATCTTTTTTATATATAATCGTTTCTAATACTTCAATACCATTATATAGTACAAAACTGAGCTTCGAATCTTTGATCACATTAAAAACGTGATCCTCAAAGTATCTTAGCAACTTTATTTGAAAAATAATATTTTTTCCGAGGTACTTTATTTAAATGAATTTATTTTTAACACCGCTATCTCCCGTTGAATGCACCTCACGTAACCCGAGCGGTGAGGTATCAGGGTTGCCAATATAAAAACTTTTTGCCAAAAATAAAGGAGCTGGTCTAGAGTGTAGACAGGCGTCTGCGTGCTTTGTTAGCTGTGTTTCGGTTCAGGTGAGACAGCAGAAAAATAACAGTCGCGATTCGGTTACTCGCCCGGTACAAACTTTTGTATTCATGAGTATAATTGTTGTATCGGTCTGGGTATTTGCTATGTACATCTTATTAATATTATAAACACGAAAGTTTGTGAGTATGGATCGATATTTATTACTGTTTCACGCAAAAACTACTGAGCAGATTTTGATGAAACTTTACAGTAATATAGCTTATACATCAGAATAACATGTAGCCTGTAAATTTTACGCGGGTGAAACCTTGGGCACAGCTAGTTATGTATATATTTACAAAAAATATATATTTAAGTATTTGTATCAGTTGTTTAGTACCCATAATACAAACTCTGCTTAGCTTAGGACTAGATGGTACTATGTTTATTAGCGTGGAACACCATCATTATTATATAGTATAAAACAAAATCGCTCTCGCTGTCTGTCCGTCCCTATGTAAGCCAGTCTTTAAAACTACGCAACGGATTTTGAAGCGGTTTTTTTTAATAGATAGTGTGATTCAAGGGAAAGTTTTATATACATGTATAATACATGTACACCCGTGCGAAGCCGGGGCGAGTAACTAGTGATTATTATAAAATGTAATAAAGAGTATAGTAACGGCAACATGGCAACCCTGCGAGGGATCGACCGGATCTAATTTGTCTTTTGAGCGCGTCCCCCGCGAGGTTCCAGCACGCCGAGAAATCAACATCAAAGTAATCGCCGCCTATTCACGGCTGACGTCACGTGAAGGATTCAGAATGACGCGACTTTTGTCGGCCGGTAGCCTCATCTCCAACTACGGTGAGGCGCTGAAGGATTATAAATGAATCGGAAATCATATCACCGTGATACCGGAAAGATATCTGTGATATTTTTCGTCCTCTTTTAACCGACTAAAAAAAACGAGTTCTCAATTCGGTTACGTTTTTTTTCATGTCTGTTACGTTAGAATCCATTTCGTCTCTTCGTATTAACCGAATGTAAAAATAGTTTTTTTTTTTTAATGCTTATATTTTCAGATTAGTCCTATAGATATATGATCAACAGCATCGGTTAAGTAATTTCTAGTTTATTGATTAAAAGTTTATTTAGTATCCAAAATAGGCTAGATGACACTGAAGGAATTGTCCAGGTTTATTATTATTGTAACTCTAGCACATTTAAACAGTTTTTTAGATATTTAACATAACGTACAGGATACGTGAACGAATAAAATATTAAAAAACCATTGAAATGCTGATCAAAAATTAAATGTGAAATCGATATCTCAGAAAGGTCGGAAACTAAGTGCAGCTTACAAATCTTTCAAATATAAATAATATTATACATTTATCAAAATGCAATATTAAATCAAACCTCCCAAAATTTGACTGTACCACGGCGAAGTAACTTCCTGAAAATTCACTTTGTTATTTATAAAGCTTCATTGAAACTTATATATACGGGTACATATTTATTACTCTTATATAAACTTATAAACTTTTCATTGTTCGCTAGATACTCTCGTATATTCACAAATTAATTGTTTTTCGGTACTTTTAACAAACATCCTTTAATTAATTAAATTTTTTTTTTTTGATAAACGAAGACAATAAACTTTTAGAGATATATTTACTACTAGCTGTACCCGCGACGTCGTCCGCGTAAAATAGTGACCTTGACCAAATAATAAAAAATATATATTAATAATCTAACCCAATAAAGAAGTTTCGTCGTTCTAGCTTGAAAGATGAAAATTTCCATACATAATTCCATACAATTCAATCAACAGGCAAAAACTAAGTTTCAAACTTCTAGCTTTAAAATAACGATACTTCCATACAACCTCACATCTCCCCTTTCAACCCCTTACAACCCTTTTTCTTGTTTTTTTTTAATGCTACTTATATTAATGTTATTATGTACCAATGATAAGAAGATGTCTCTATACTGTAACCACTTATGGCTGAGTCCTGTGAAGGTAGGTACTGATATTTTCTCATATTTCATATCATATCATTCATTTTCATATAACAGACTAAAAAATAAGTTTCAACCTTCTAGCTTTAAAAATGTCAATACCTGTATACAACATTTCAACTCCCCTTTTGACCCTTACAACCCATTTTTGTTAATTATATTTAATCAATACGCAAAAAAATAAGATTCGAGCTTCATCTTTTAAAAATGACGATACTTCTATATAACCTCTTTCAATCTATTATAACACTTTTTCGCATTAAAAAGTAACCTATATCCTTTCTCAGGATCTAGACTATCTGTGTACCAAATTTCATTTAAATCGGTTCAGTAGTTTTGGCGTGAAAGCGAGACAGACAGACAGACAGACAGACAGACAGACAGAGTTACTTTCGCATTTATAATATTAGTAAAGATTTTTATAGACGTGACATATATATGTACAGATTAATAAATTAATTTTGAATAACTAGTCACTCGCCCCTAGTCCGCCTGAGTGTAAGTATTTTTTTTTAGTGTAAGTAGCTTATGTCACTCAGGTACTGTGTACCTTTTGAACAGTCAAGAATTTCTTAAATAAGTGTTGTTTTTCCTAAGTTTACTTCCGGATCTTATTTCCGTAATATACATCAAATAAACTTTGTGTGTAAATATATATTTCACAACTCTCCTGTAAAGCAAACTATTTTATACCGGCTTTTTTGGAGTCAGTTAAATTTGAACTCACGATCTTTGTAAATAAGACAGGGTAGTAAACCAACAAGCCACAACATGAGGTTATATCTCCTATCTTTTGATATACTATAAAAGATAAAAGTCAACCATTGAGACAAGATGGATGGGCTACACATTTCACTGAAATCACAG